AAGGGTTCATTTGCACTTTAAAACAAATGAATAAACCTCATTATGACTTATGGATACTATTGCAGCTACAATATGGGTTTCATATTTTTTTAACTTACTCTTTGTTCGTAATCCAGTGAAAATCTCATGTACCAGATATCACACTGATGGAAATCAAATCTGTTATCACAAAGGAAAGAATTCAGTATTTAAACAACTGAGTAGTACTCTCATTACATCTCCTAGAGTGAAGTCACCAAACCGACACGGCTAAAAAAACCGCTGTGCATGCGCCAAAATTCCCGCCTGTTCCGGAAAACAAGATGGCGGACGCGCGAGTGTTTCCCGTGCTCCAGAATGTTCATATTTCCAATGAACCTCCAGCGTTTCAGTTTAACTTTGATAGGAGATTTAAATTAGCCAATCTGCGGTTTTTTAGCCGTGTCTACCAAACCCGTGAAACAGATATTTTACCAATAAACATTAGTACAGTAGACCCTAATTCCATTGTCTTCTTTTGTCTTCTTTTGACAGTGTCTATTTGACTACATGTATTACATGTTGACTAACATTTTTTATTTCACAGGTTAAATGCATTCGATCTATCATAATTATAAGATATATATAGAAGATATTACATGGCTGTGTGACAATACAGATGTTAGCTTTGAGTTTTATGTGATATCTTACATGAGAGTGCAGGTAATGAGTGAGAGATCTCAACACAAGAAGATAAAATATGTATCTCCTAGCAGCCATGTAATATCTTATATTATTAAAGTTTGGATAGTACGAGTGCGCTAATTGGTCGAAAGCTGTTATTTACTAGTGAACGGAGCACAGTGCTGACGCCATCCGCACGTGAAAAATGCTGCTAGATCCTGCGACCGTCTTTCTTTTTGCGTAAATAAATTCCATACCCCCCCCCCCCGCTAGCTAGCTATATAGCTATATAATAAAACGAATAATTAAAAACAGCTTTTCCGTGCTCCATTCAGTAATAAAGCAATTGGGAAACGCTGAAGCACTCAAGAAGTACTCGCCTACGGTTCGTGCTTCTCCTTACACTTCTTACGCCACTTCCTGTGTGCTTTATTACTGAATGGAGCACCGAAAAAGCTCTTTTTTTGTTTGTTAATTAAATGTACTCTTACAATAAACAGAATGGAAAAGAAGTGGAGGCCATTTTTTATGTAACAATGGAGAGGGAGGAGTCAGATATCTGGTATGGGTAATCAAGCAAATCCCACCACCCCTCCCTCCCCTCCCAAATAAAAAATGAACAGTCCCTAGCCACAAACCTGTGAAGAACTTCAACACCATGATCACTGTTGCCTGTCTGTTGATAAAACAACATTTATAAAACATCATTATCAGCTTTGTTTGTACATTTGCAGTTACTACTAACAGTGTTTTCATGAGACTAGAAAGAACTTAAGAGAGGACCGACACATCTTACTCGTCCACTTTGCTTTCTCAAAGAATCTCATCACTGAAGTGAGTCTGTAAGCAATAGTAGGGAGGACTCAAAATCGTTTTCATGAAAGCAGAAAGTAGTAGTGCCAGAAAATATCCACACCCCAATCAAGAGGGAAATGGAAATTCTGGAGGGGAAAAAGTAAACCTCTTATTAATATAATATTATAATAAAAGTCACCTTTTGTAAGATATCTTCTAATTTTCCATCTGGCTTCCAGCAAACAATACAATTTTCACATGACTACAACATATTTAAAAAGACCAGTTTATATATTAGTGAACCAATTCGAAGTCAAACCAATTCTGTATTCCTATGAACAAGGCTGCAAATAATGTTATTTTATAACATTATATTTTATATATATTTAATATTATTATATCATTCTATAATTAGTTAGATGCTAGTGAGCATCTCTTGCCTACCAACAAAATAATGTTTTGCTACAAAATTAAAATTTTTAAACGTACAGTACTTCCCCAAGCTTCAGGTTTACAATTTTTAACATTGTCTTTCTAGCTATTGGTGATTTTTTTTCAAATTAGTCCTGTGAGTTTTGGAGACCTTTGGAATTGCCCTATTTCACTATGATGTCACTGCTTGTTTATGTGGGGGATAGAATCGCCAAATCCAATAGAAAATTCAACAAAATTTGCTTCTAGCAAGCAAGTTTAATCTAAAATGGCATGGTTTTCAGATATAATGTGTTAATATGTACTAAAAAATATTCTGAGCATTTGCTGGCTATTCTACTTCTCTTCGTGGATTGATACGGGTTTTAGAACAATTTTCAGTGAATTTGCATTGATTTGACCCCCTCCAATGATCATGATCCTTAAATTGCGTTTAAGCAATAGATTGTTTTGATGTGACGTCATAGTGAAATAGGGCAATTTGGTGATAAAAGCTCATTGAGCTTGTATTGATTACCTTTGAAAGTACTAGGTCTCCTAGCCATCGGACACAATCTACGTAATTCCTGTGAATGTCTCGTGTGGTGAAGTTTGGGTAATGTTCATGAATTGTCTTGAATTGTCTGTTTTAGAGTTATAAAAATAACGAGTTATCATATTAATATTTTTAATTAAAAATAGAGTTATATAATAACAGTTTCAAACCAAAAATAAGCCCACCAACTCCAGCTTATTTAGTTCTTAATATTCATTATACTATACATGAACAAAAATCGACAACCGGTGTTTGGGCAAAACAGGGCAATTTGATACTGTATATATTTTGGACACAATACAACTGCCATCCTAAGGGAGGGTGGATAGGGTAAAAACGAGCATGACTAGTCTAACCTAAAGCAAGGTGAAACTAATGTATGATCTGGTAACCTAATATTTAATTGGTGACCTACCGTTCCACTCTAATTAAACTATATATTAAAAATAGGCCAACAAAAAGGGAAGTTTGGCAAACACGAGTCCAGGGCGTATTTTCATAGGTTTATGGTATATACGTATTCAGTGACAGATTAGCAATGACACATAATGATGTATGAAGCATCATCTGTTCAGTAAGGCTATTCAATCTCATTTTTCTCCTCAGAACTTACAGAGCTTTCAATATTTTTTGGAGTAAGTGGTTATTCCCAAATATTAGGGGGCAATAAATGGAATTTTAGACCCCTTTTTTATTAATTATGTGTACTATTAAGTTGAAAATAGCCGGCAGTTTAGGCAGAACTATCCGGCGATCAATCGCCGGTTGCCGCCTTCTACTGAAAGCTCTGAACTTATACAGGATAGAGAATCATTTTGGCAATCAAATAACTATTAAATGAGTCTTTAACTACTTACTTTTTACTAGTGCTTGCATCAAAGGTGTAAGAGTTTTTACAAGCCTGTTGAAAGACATTTAATAAAATTAAAAATAATGGACATTTTCAAAATCATATTTACCAAATGTGTGGTTAAATTATTTCCTAGTACATCTTACGATTATCAACATTAGGGTTTACAATTTCAAAACTTGAATTATCTCTTACACCAAAAACACTTCTTATCAACCTCTTGCAGAAAATAAAAATCATAACTTTTGGTCTTTGGAAATTGCATTTCCGAGGGTCTTAATTTCGAAATTTTATTGGGGTGTGCAGTATGCTGAACCCACTTGTCTCCTGCCCTTAAGTTACTGCCCTGTGATTGCGCAGATTAAATTAGGTTTATGTAGATAAAATGTTATCAGTTTTAGTTTTTTTTATTTGCGTAAAAGGTCAAAACTAGTCACCCCCTCACCCCCCCTGGATCCTCCCCCATTTCATTCAACTTGTCATTGTTATCTACATATATTGTAACTGACAAGTTTGGCAAGTACAGTATTCATTTTGTATTTACAGTACTAAGGCATCCTTTGAGTTTATCATCTGTGTGAACAAACCTCTTTAAGTCTATCTGTTTCCAAGTTCCAGATTTTTAATGAGTGATCCATTCCACATGAAATAAGTTTTGTTCCAAGCACATCAAAATCCTGTAAAACAATTAGTTTTAGTATTTTCTATGCACTTCATATTGCAGCTTATCCACTATCCTATTTCATTGAATATCCATTAACTGTCCTGGCTGATGACATAATGAGCATTATTTAAGGAAGAATAAGTTATGCAATATGTCATTTGGTGTGAACCAGCATGGAGAAAGGAGACACACCCACCCTCGTACCCTTTCTGTTTACTTATTGGCTTATCACCACAAGCTTGCCTGTCAGGGGAGATTCTCCATACCTAAATGCTAACGTACAAAAACCTTATAATCTTCCAGAACCATTTTAAAGTAGTGTCAAGATTGCCGTCATTCAAGATAATTAAATTCTGGTTTACACACCCCAAATTCCAATTCCAGAGAAATGTAAAGAATGGCAGGTGAATGAATGGCTTGTTGCAGGTAAAGGACTGCTAAGTATTTATCAGGGACGGAGGATTGTGACTTGGACTTGGTGAAAGAAGGGGGGTCATTAAAAAGAGAACTTTGTATCCATATTCACGGGGGAGGGGGGGGGGGGGAGGGACTCCAGGGTAAGGGTATCAGGTATGCTGTTGTATCTGTTGGGGTAAAAATCAGCGGTTTGGTATCTTGTTATCTCTTAGGGTATAACTGTGCCCTTATAAAAAGACTTTTGGTATCTTTCAGGGGTATTTTTTGAAATGTTTGATAGGCATAAGAACCATACTTTTACCCCAGTATTCATGTGTCTTCTCATTCACAACCATTAAACAAAGAAATGATACTCTTGGAAATGACAAATGGTCTGATATGGGAAAATATTATGCACCAACAACATATAAGGCCTATTAAAAATGGTGCAAATGAGACTATGACCATGTCTTTTCCTCCAGGAAAACTCTTTATCAGTGACTTACTACACTTAATACTTCATCTCTGTGACCATCAACACCTCCAAACACTGCCACTAACACATCTGTTTTGATGTTCCACAGCCTTAGCCCATGGTCTAAAAATAAAATATACTTAGTATTATTTATGATATAGAGTGCACGAACTAAACCTGTGAATAATATTTAGTACTAATTAGTAGTAATTCATACAGAATCCTTTGTTTCCTATTGTTTGATTATCACTATTTAGTGCTAAAAATTAGTATTTGTTTCACAGGTTTCGTGCTAAATTGTCACTCTATCTTGATCAACATCCAAGCTGCAATACAGGGTTAGATTTTTTGAACACACTCCTAGCTTAAATTGCAGGACATACAATAAACATGTTGACTGTTACCCACCAGCAAAAAAATCAACAAAGGTTGGTGAAGGTTTTGTTGCATGTTGCTTACCAAGTGTGAATTGTTTTATATTCATAATCRTGTATTAAATAATGTCAGCACATAACGAATTATGCCAGGAAAATGTGAAGTTTAGGAAAATATCACATTGTTGTGACCTTTTGCTTATTGCATTCACAGCTCCAATTCAACATGCACCAAAACCTCTACCGACCTTATTTTCGAAATAGATGTATATTGTGTAATTCCAGAAATTATCCATACTTCCCCCAAGGAGGACCAATGCCCTGGAAATTTCAATTTTCTTCCATACAAATACAAACTCTGTAGTTTTGTTCTTTCTCTGACCCCCCTACCCCTATACCCCTCAAAATGTGAAATTCCTCTGTGGGAGGGGGGGGGGGGTATTGATAATGAATTTTCTGGAACTACTGTACACATTCCATAACAAAGGTAGCAAAATAAACACCCAACTGTCTTCTGGTTACAGATAATAAATATTTCTTAACAATGTTGAAAGCTATTTTAATGCAAATTGTGTTGGCAAGCTATTATTTGAAAATTATTAACTCCTTCAACTTTCTGTTCAAAAATTCTTGGCCTCTAAAAGCAACTAAACCATAGTGAATAGTGAATGCATACTGTAGAAGGAGTGATACCTATCTAACTTAAAGGTAAACATACCTTTACTGCCAGAAAGCAAGAGATGTGGATCAAGAGGATGAAGTTTGAGATCATTGATTGCTCCACCATGACCAATATAATGCTGTAACATGATTGAATAGTATATTCAGATTAGTTACCAGAGTGTTATGTGTAGTTCCAGAAATTATTCATATCCCGCACAGGAGAAATTTTTTTCAGACCCCCCTACTTACCCCCGGATTTCCAATTTTCTTCCATACAAATTCTGTAATTTGGTTCTTACCCTACCCCTTAGAAATTCCAAATTCTTTGGTGGGGACGGGGGGAGAGGGGTGTAGAGGTATTGATAATTTCTGGAACTACATATTACATGCATACAAACTTTATTTATACACGGTAAAATTATCAGTTGAAGTATTAACATTAAATCAAAGAGAAAATAAGTTAAAAAGTGTTTTACATAATTGGCGTGTGTGAATCCGATACCTTAAACATTTTATTGATCTCCCTTTTAAAACAATTGAGAGAGTCAATATTTCTAATATTTTAACTAAACAATACAGTGCTGAAAAGGTAGCAACTTCAGAGTACCCAGCAAATCAAAGGCAGTTGTTGCAACTATTTATAAAATATGAGACATAAATAACAGAAGTCATTGTCAGGGCTTAAAATAATGCTTGTCAGTTTGATCAGTAATGTTGAGACAGAAACAAGGTACATGTATGACTGAGCTAAAACTAATTTGGCCATTGACAATGACAGGCTAATGCATGAACAGAACAGCCATTATATAAAGCCTTGGCTGTTGTCATTTAGTATTTGCATATGATTTACAGCTGGGTAACTAAATTACTAAATAAAAGACCACCTTTGCAATTCAAGGGAAAACAAAAGAAAAAACACCCAAACATTCAACTGAAAATGTGTGAATTTTGTTTTCACAATTTGTTATAATGATTATTATTATTGAAATAACCAGACAATGAAGGAAATTATATTTAAGACTGAAAACTCTTGAAAGTATTATCAATGCTAACAACATACTTACCTTAATGCACTTCATACTAATTGGACTGCAAAAGAAAAGAATATAAAATAAATTGTAGAAAATGGAATGATTCCATGGTTACAAACTAATTACATAACTTCTAACATTTTCATATCATGTGGGAATCCAAAGGTAGGCATAGTAGTAGTGCACTACTCGCGCCTCTTACCTTGGGTCTCAGGTTCGATCCCTGGACTCGGCATCACATGTGAACAGTAGGGTTGATTAATCGTTTGATTTGAAAGTTTTTTCCAGGTTTCCTCCATCCACAAATTGAAAGCTAACATGCTTTTTTCCAGATTCGACCATTGAGAGGATCTTTGTACTACATACGTTTACCATCTCGATCAGCGCTTAGCATTAAAACTGTGGCAATATTAATATTATAATGTTATATGTTTTTATCCTAGCATGTTACCTTATAAACCGTATTACAGCCTTGGCACCAGCTACTGCTATAAGAGGTTCTCCAGTGTTAGGGTTGCAAGTCCAGGCACAAGAATAAAAACTTTCTTCTGGCTTAGCTGATGTAAGGAAATTACATAAAACAAAGGAGAAAATTTGCATCTAAACTAAGACAACACTATGCCAGAATATCCAAATACTCCAGTTTTGAATTCCAAATTACCGCTGTGTTCCTTGACTAAAGACTCATTTGCACAGCGTTAGCATCATATCAGTGTTTAAATATTCACAAATACCAACAGAAAAGTAAAGAATGCACAACTTCAACAATACAAACATTTTGAAACTCAATGGACCTTGACTGGAACACGTTAATATTCCGCACAAACTCAAGGTTAACCCTGTGCAAATGAGTCTGTAATCAAGAATTCGAAAAGGGTCTATTAGTGATATACAGTACATGTGGAAAATACATAGAATAACCAACAAAATTCGTATCTAAACTAAGACAACTGCACAACTGAAGTGTCATGAAGCCTGTCAAAATTGATCAGTGAAAAATAAAAACATGACCTTCATTGCAATAAAAATGTAAAACTAAATATTAATTTTTATTTAGTCACTGTTATCAAGCGTTTAATAGCAACGTTATATTTTTCAATTTTCTTTTGGTTGCCTGGAAATCCATAATTTGAAGCGGAAAAGAAACAATTCAGTTTTGTAAATTTTCTCAATTCTGATTGGCTAATACTTTTCCATGGACCAGCTAGAATTCCTATTCCTTTTGAGTTAACATGAAATAGTATAACACACAATAGACATGATTTCAAAAGGATACATCAGCATCAACATATGCCTGAATGAGTTTTATTGCTCCTTTTTCTTCACATTGATAGATGGTTAGCTGAAAAATAAATACTGATCTTGTAAGTGATTAGCACAGTTTCCTTACTCACTTTATTCGACTGTAAAGCGCTGGGGTTTTAT